TTTTAGTAGTATCACTGTTCATGTTCTTGTTTTTACATCTTGTAATTATGTTCCTCATTTGTTATTGTGATTTTTTTTACTTACTCTTTGCGTCAAGCATGAAAGGTGGCGGTGCTATATAAATAAAGTTTATTATTATTATAAGCTTAATTTGTATTTTCCGATTTGACAGAAAATAGAATACAAACAGTTCTACAGTAATGACTCTGTACACACACTGAAACAACTGAAGAATTGACTCTAATTAAATGTATTATGTAAACAGATTTCACTTAACTGTATTAGTTTAGTTGAAAGCAATACTTTTAAGTTTAAATAGGTTCAACGTAATGTTATTGCTTTCAACTAACCTAATACAGTGATGGGAAATCTGTTGACATAATACATTTAATTGAAGTCAATGCTTCAGTTGTTTCAGTGTAAGTAGAAAATACACTTTATGACAAAGGCAATCAGAGTTGCATACCACAGCATCCTCTTGATATTAGTATATATGTATTCATTTTTCAGTCATTATTATTATCAGAATTAGGTTTATTACCAGGTAGGTTTACACGTACATGGAATTTGACTTGGTGTCGCGGTGCATAAAAACAAGAATTAAAAACACAGGTAGAAAAATATAACAGTATTTACATTGGAATGGAATAAGAACAATCTATCTTTGATAGTGACCGCCCTGCAGCCTGTTGATCTCCCCACACACACACACACACACACACACACACACGCACACGCGCGCATATATTTTCACACACCACCCTCCCCCCTTTTTTACACCCTCCTAGTCTCCTTTCACTGTCATTCATTCAGTGCCAAAGCCTGCTGCTTTATTAAAGCCCAGGAAGAGCGAGTTCTGGCCCGGGTTCAAACAGCAGTGCAGCTGGGACCTGTTACATTTTCGGCAGACTGCCCTCTCTCCGTCTCGCTGGCTATAAATAGCACCCGGTGGTTGTCTCCCTTAACCAAGGAAAAGAGGTTTTTGTGGGAGGAAGAAAAAAAAACACACACACACAGATTAATAACCGTGGGAAGCAATGAAAGCTTTGTGTCTGCTTTCTGAGGTCAGCGGGCCAGGAGGTGTTGCTACTTCAAAAGACCCTCATTGTGGCGCGTACTTTCAGACGCCGCTGGGGTTGAATGGAAACACGGGCTGCCAGCGGTGAGATTTAGTTTATTTGTTTATAGTGTCGTGGACAGTACCCATTGATCAACTGTCACACAAAACAGTAACAGCTTTAGCCAACATTGCTAATTTCCAGCTGTTGTCCCCGGCCAGATGATAATTGGACAGATGGCATGACATTGCGCTAACCAGACAGCCCTGGTTTGAGGTTTTTTTCCTGATTTCCAGCAGAGGAACACTTCAGAGTGGTGCTGTGGTGAAGTATTTTTTCAAGCCCATCTGAAGTTAGCATCACGACTTAAAGCTAATGGGATTTTCATCCACTGGATTTTTAAATGTTGCAGGAAATAAGCTCTGAGGCAAACAAATGTTTATGAATAGAATAGAATAGAATCCTTTATTGTCAGTATACAGGTACAATGAGATGAGTTACTCCTTTTTCCTGTGACTCTTGTGTTCATATCCAGAACACATCGCACACATATCAACATTGAAGGCGTTGAACTAGGGCTGTGCAATTAATCGTATTTTAATCTCGATTACGATTTTGGCTTGCAACGATTACGAAAACAACGTAATCGAAATAAAACGATTATTTTTATAAAAAAAAAAAAAATTGTTATTTTTTTTATTTTTCAGTTGAATTATACTTAAAGTTCAGGGTAATCAACTGTTAAAAACATACTGTTCACATTTTTGTTTCAATAAATGGATGTTTTCAAAGTAAATGGATAATCGTTTTTAATAATCGTGATATCAATTATTGACCAAAATAATCGTGATTAGGATTTTTGCCATAATCGCACAGCCCTACGTTGAACACACCTGTTTACACACATTTCACACTTTGTGTCTTTATTGTGGTTTTGGTAAAGATTTGAATTAATTGTGAAGCCCTACTCAGCCATAACCTCTTCAAAGAGCCAATGTGTGCCCGGAGTGAGGAGGCAGGAACGGTTTAATCAATCATTCTTTACAGTTGCATTGTGGGAGATGTAGGATTGTGTATTGGTAGAGCTTGACTCGAGGCTTAAAGTCGGGATATTTAAGATCCTTCAATGTGTTTGGAAGCTGAATTGCAATCACCAGAAGTAAAAAGCTAACGTTACACTGTAAAGAAACTACATCACGCTCAAATGACTTCATGTCACCACCGCTAAGCTAAAGGCGGCTAACGTCTGGCGTGACGACATCAACAGTGGGGTATTTATGTCGTAGAACATAAAATACGTCAAATGTAAAGTTGATTTATGCCAATATAACATGTGCAGCAAGTGATCCGGGTTTTGTTTGAAACCAGAAACACTTTCACCCAAAGCTTAAACGATATTAATCTTCAGAAGTTCTCTCATAAATCTCCAAAGATCACCAAATGTTAGGTGGCTGCCATGTGTAATGAAAATGTGAAAACGTCTTAAGCTTGTGTTAGCCATAGACCACAGACTATTTCTATCCTATCCTGTTTTCATTTGTATTTACTTGCACTATTTGATCAGTTTTATTGTGTTGCACTGTTGGAGGAGCCTGTGACCTAAGATTTTCATTCGTACATATCTACACTGTAGCTATGTACGAATGACAATAAAAGCCTTGAATCTTCTTTCAGCTGTATAAACAAAACACATTTAAACATCTTTGACTTTGAGAGTGAGGACCCAGAAGTGTCAAAATGCGGACTACATTTTTTTAGGACTCATTCCTGCTACCCTATAGCAGCTTTCGAATTGTGTTTATTTTTGTTTCGCTCGAGGGGTGTTGGGATTCCACCAGCCTCATCTCTTATGTACACACACACCCCCCCCCCCCCCCACACACACACACACCCCCCCCCACACACACACACACACTTCATGACCTTGGCTCCAGCTGTTGACAGGAGAAGCTACCTCATTACAACCCTCCGTCTCCCCCTCCTCTACTCTCAGTTTCCCTCCCTCGCTCAGTAGCCAAAAAAAAAGGCCACGTGGATCTCCCTCAGTCCAAACAGGGCCAAGGTCATCGCCCCAGCCAACAACAAACCCTGACACCACAGACACATCCACTTCCTTACGCTTATTTTCATAGAAACCCTCCCTGTAACAGAATCCACCCACTGGCACAATGATCTGCCGGGCAGGGAAACGCTCCTGGCGGATATAGTGGGCTCATTCATTCATTCATGGCCAATTTCTTCCCTTTCTAGTAAGGAAAGTAAATCCACTACTATTTTTTTTTGTAATACCTCCCCCATCTGCTTTTTGTTCTGTGCTTTGATTATGCTGTGACGGTTTATGAGATGATGCTTGCACGACACAATGGTACTCGTTTGTGTTCATTGCTGAGTAATGCTTTTTAAAGAAAATAAACCCCACTTAAAAGGCTCCAAAATAACCCTTCTAACGTTTTGCCGTCACATTACTGGATTGAGAACAATATCCTATCCGCTGCATCATTATGGAGCTCGTTATAGTTTGGCTGCACCGTCCAATAAAAGCAATACAACACATAAACATAACCATCAGCCAACAAATCCAATGACAGACCCTAACCCTCAATTCAGAGCTTTTCCATCCACTTTTTCAGCTGATTTAAAGTCCCCTATTATACTGGTTTTCATCAATATATTACAGGTCTCAGATATATACAGAGCCTGTCTCTGATTGGCTGAAACACCAAACAGATCATTGCAGCATTACCCATAATCCCTTCTGTTTCAGCCCTGTTTCAAAAGTGCCGATTCTCTGTCTGTTACTTTAGATGAAAATAAGGAGCTCCTCCCCACGCCCCTCTGAGAGAGATTTGGTTAAAAAAAAACACAAGAGGCGCGTTCACACCGGAGTACTTTAACCCGTACTTTTCCCGTTTAGTTCCGATAGTGCCTGGAATTTTGCGTTCACACCAAAAAGAGAACTTAGTTCAGAGAACTTTTACCCCCATGTTTGTTGCCTGCTAGAGAGGTGGTACTATCCTGGGGAGAAAAAAGTACCAATTTCTGATTGGCTGGGTGAATTGCAAACCACGCACCGTAAAACTCTGAAAAGTTTTGTGAAGCCGCCATTTTATTTGCTGGCATTAGCATTATTAGCATTAGCATTAGCCCAGCGCACCAACAGAGAGAGACTAACTTATGGCAACACAAAAATAAAACATGGGAGCGGTGGAGATGAGGAGGTGTCGGCGTTCTGGCGATTTACTCTGAAGGCTTCAGTAGAAGCTGCTGGGAGTCCCAGCAGCTTCTACTGAAGCCAGTCCCCAACTCCGGGGACTTCCGGCCGGGGACTTCGGGTGGCAGTATACGCCGTGAAGTTGTTTGCGGCCTGCCAGTAAACCCAAAGCAGAAGAAGAAGAAGTGACGTCAGCGGCTTAATTTGTCTAATCTTCCCTCAGGGACTTAGGTGTGAACTCGATCGGCTCTTAGTTCCATGGGGGAACTAAGAGCTGGGAACTAAGTACGGCAAAGTACTTGGTGTGAAAGCGGTTATTGGTGCTCTAGGAGGAGATTCAGGTGATGAGATGGGGGGGGGGGGTACCTTGGTTGGTGATTGGCTAATGGTTACACAAGCCAAAACATCGTTATGACATAAAGTGGCCAAAATCTGACCAGCTCATTTTCAGACAGGTTTTTATAAAAATGGATCAGGACAAAAAGAGAAAGATTCTTTGTTCCTGAAACTTTCAGAATCTCTTTACACAGAACTACATGTTGATGTAGAGACATGAAGAAGAGGGGACACATGTTGATGTAGAAGAGACATGAAGAAGAGGGGACACATGTTGATGTAGAAGAGACATGAAGAAGAGGGGACACATGTTGATGTAGAAGAGACATGAAGAAGTGGATTTTGCATAATAGGTGACCTTTAAACACTGAATTTTCTTTCTGTGTGTCCTCCAGCCTCCGAGCCCAATGGAGCAAGTAGGGAAAATGCGTGGCCAGCCATCATATGGAGGACCCAACCCTTACTCCCAGCAGCAGCAAGGCCCTCCAGCAGGTCCTGGTCCCCAGCAAGGAGGCTCCTATCCTGGGCAAGGATACGGACCTCCAGGCCCTCAGAGGTATCCAATGGGGATGCAGAACCGAACGCCTGGCGCTATGGGCGGCATGCAGTACGGACAACAGGTCAGTAACTATTGATTTAGATTATGTTAGAAAAATATCACTCGTCCCCGGCTTGAGCTTCAATCTCAGGATCCATGTATTTATGATCCTCTCAAGAATGGAAGTAGTCATATACAGAGCATACAGTCAGCATGTCGTTGTGTCCCTGGGCAAGACACTTCACCCCAAATTGCTCCTGTGGGGATTGTCCACACTATTGAGTATGTAAGTCGCTTTGGATAGACATGTTTGGAGTGACATGTAATGTAATTTGGTACAACTAGTTCCTGAACAGTGTCCTTCACATGCTGATATACAAGAGAGGGAGTTACACAGTCACAAGATGGAGGAATGCCGGTTCTTGTTATCATACATCCTGTCATGAACCAAATACTGAGTTTTTTCTCAAATGTTGGCTTTTTTCTGAAAATCTCAGAATCCTGATTTTTTTTTTTGCTCAAAATTATGACTTTTTCTTAAAATATCAAAATTATGACTTTTTCTCAAAATCTGAAAATTATGATTTTCTCAAAAATCTGAAAATTATGACTTTTTCTAAAAAAATCTGACTTTTTCCTCAAAATTATGACTTTTTCTCAAAATTATGACTTTTTCTGAATACTTAAAAATGTTAATAATCACTACACCGGCTTGAGCTTCAATCTCAGGATCCAAGTATCTATTATCCTCTCAAGAATGGAAGTAGTCATCACATACAGAGCATCAACTAGTTCCTGAACAGTGTCCTTCACATGCTGATATCCAAGAGAGGGAGTTACACAGTCACAAGATGGAGGAATAGAAAGCAGTATTCAATGTTTACTTCAGATTAGCTCCACGTCAGAAATGAGCATGCTTGTCGTTAAAAAAAATAAAAAGTGGGATTGTTTCCTTAAAGGCACATTTTGCTTCGATTTTACAGTGAAGCTAATGGGTGTAGCTGTACCTAAAGCAAAGTTAGACTTAAGAACTACCTCTCATTGATCCTCAAATATCCAAACCAAGTCATTGGAGAGCCCAACAAAACCAAAAATAAGCTTATTTTCCACCTGCAACCAAAACTCCACTGAAGGAGACTCAAAGTGAGAAACCATACATTTTTCTCCGACTGATTTGCTTCCATGCCTGTAAGTTGGGATAAAAAAAATGCAGGTTGTTTATACATGCACAGTGGGCAGCACTTCCTGACAGCGTAGTCCAATTATTTAAAAACATCCAGTTTGCCGTAGCCACTTACTCATATCTCTACCCTACTTGAACCCTCCGGCATGCAGTCGGTCTTAACAGACAAACGCATGCAGGGAATCCCGTAGAGTGAAGCTGTCTGAGGTCTCGTGCCCATTGTGTGTTGTGATTATCTCATACTGGCCTGCCTGGTGTCTGACCGTGGACTCGATAAGTGCCCTGCGGAGAAGGAAAAAAGACTTCCCTTCCCTTTTGTCGGATACAATACAGCCACTTCATGTTGTTTTAAAATGTGTGCCGATCCTTTTACTATCTTGAACGCTCAAGTAGCTGCTCCCAAAATAACACGTGGCTTTTTTTTTATTGTTATCTCCCTCCTCTGCATCTTTGTATTACTGTGTTTCCTTACAAGGTCAGGCCTTTCTCCTCCTGTGCTCCTTCAGAGTAATGAAACGAATATGTTGTATTGAAAGGCTTTTCCGCTCGCTGGATTGCGTAGGAAAATGAAAAGGGCTCATGCTGAAAGTTCAAGGAGATGAAGTCTGAACTCAATTTTTATTCCCACAGATTTTAAAGCGATACACCGAGTCATTCTGACACTTGGATGTATGTTTTTTTTTCCCCTCGTGTGATTTGACTGATCAGTTTATAGAGAGGAACACACTTATTTTCTCTCACACACATAGCGGTAGTCTTTCCCTTTTTAATCTGTGAGTAAGATGAAGAGATGCTCTTATTTCTCCGCTGAGAATATGAAAAACCAAAGAGGTGACTTTGAATTTAGGTTATTTTTACATATTTTCTCAGCTCCAGAGAGCATCCTGTCAGCGTTCAGGTACTGATTGATATTCCACAGAGAGGCTCAGGATAGTAAACCTGTAGTAAGAGAAAAAGCTGTTTATGTTGGAGGCAATTAAACTCTGTTGGGTTATATTTACTCGCATATCTGTTCTACCCCTTCATACACTGATCTACCTTTGATCCTGACTAGGAAATGGGATGCTAAAATATATATTTTTTTATAACGCAGATCTTTGTGAATTTCCATTATACTTACTCTACGCCTTGAATAAAGTGTTATGAGCCAGACAAGCATGCATGTATTTTTGGTTGTTTTACAAATAGCTTTTATTCAGTTTTATTTAATATCAGAGTATGTAGGCCTAAAGCTGATGGAAGTTTGTTGTGTTAGGACAGGGGTGCCCACACTTTTTCAGCTTGGGATCTACTTTTAAAATGTCCAAGTCAAAGTGATGTACCTACAGGGCCGCAAGTCATGTGGTGAGGCCCTCTGTTGTGTCGCGAGCGGGGGGTGGTGCTAGTGGACTGCGTGCACCGGAACCTCGCAGAGACACTGTGGCACGCTTACACTTATTGCGCCACATTTGCGCTTCAGATGAGGAGGTGATCTGCGTGTTGGGAGGGTCTGTCTACCTACGTTAAGAATGCTAAACATATATTTATTTATATATATATACTGAGTATACCTTATCTTGGTGTATACCTTGCATAACTGCATGAACCCGTATGGCACAATACAACTCGGTACATTTTTGGTCATTACGTCAATTTTTTACCCTTTCTTTAGTAGAATTGTATAAATTGGAAGGCTAACGAGGTGATCAGCTCGCTGGTGATTTGCAGCTGGAGCGGTTGACCGCGCATGCGTGGTGAACTGCGTGTTAGAAAAGATGAGATCTCAGACTGGCTTACCAGTACGTCAATCAAGTGGCAAACGCCATAGTAAGGATGGATGATAGGCTAACCTTTTTATTTTTTTTCAATGCCATGCGATCTACCCACACTACCTGGGGTATATACGTTGATCAACGTATTGGGCACCCCTGTGTTAGGAGGTACGGTGTAGGCTCGACAGGACTTTTTTGAATTTGTTATAGCCATCTTTTCAATAGAAGATTAAAATCTAAATGCATTACTAATTGTGTTCTTTATATTAAATCAGTCATTTTAAGTTCAACAATAATCACAGATAATATTTGTCCTATATATCCGGGACATTGAAATCTTCTCGGACACGTTGACTGGCAACACTTTGCAATCATTTTTGGTTAGGATAATCAAAGCGTGAAATATCCCATACCTTAAACTAATAGTTATGTTTGTCATCAAATAAAATATTCAAAGGGGGGGTTGTTGATCAGAGTTTGAAAGCTAGAGTGAATAAGTGAGTTTTGTACCAGGTTTCTTGTAGTTTGTTCCAGATATTTGGAGCACAATAACTGAACGCTATGCATATTACACATATCGGACATGAAACAATACACAACAATAAATGTTAATGTAATTATTCAACACTTTAGCAAATCTGTTATCCTCTTTGTGTTAAGTGTACACACACATCAGCAGAACATGCTCATCACCATTGAATGATTTGAAAGCAGCAAACAAACTGTTTAATTTGATTTATTTGTAGGTATGTTCAAGATGAAGTCTTGTTGGCAAAGATCTTGAATAAAATTGGAGAAATCCATTGCTTTTATCAGCTTTCAGCGGCACTTGTCTGCAACAGTTATTACTGTGGACAATACCCACATATCATCCCGTGCCTTCAAGTTTCAAGTTTTCAAGGCTTTTATTGCCATGTGTGCATAGCTACAGTGTAGTTATGACAATGAACATCTTAGCTCACAGGCTCCTCCATCAGTGCAACACAACAAAACAGATAAAATGGTACAGGTAAATAAAATATAATATAATATAATAGAAACAGTGCAGAATAGTCTATATACAGAAATTGGAATATTGAGATATATATATATATATATAAGTTGCAAACAGATGAATGTTATGGATGTTCTTTCAAAAGTTCAGGTGTTTAACAGTCTTATGTCCTGTGGGATGAAACTGTCCCCGAGTCTGGTGGTTTTAGTCCCAAACGGTGATGGGGGTCTTTGATAATCCGGAGGGCTTTCTTCCTGTGCCGCTGGGAGTAAAGATCCTCCATGGATGGATCCTGGTGATGTGCTGTGCAGTTTTCACCACCCTCTTAAACTAAATGTTCTGTTTTCTCCTCCAGATGTCAGGTTATGGTCAGCAGGGTCCCGGGGGCTACAGCCAGCAGGGTCAGGCTTACTACGCTCAGCACGGCGCCCCCCCCCACCCTGCCCAACAACAACAACAACAACAACAACAGCAGCCTCCTTACGCAGGCCAGCCTCAGGGCGTCTCTGGAGCTCCGTACCCTCAACAGGGACACCCATCGCAGCCCTCTGGACAACACGGACAACCAGGAGCCCCTTACCAACAACCCCAAGGTCCCCATGGCCCTCCTCAAGGTCAACCTCCCTACAACCAGCCCCCCCAAACTCAGCCTGGACAGCCAAACTACGTTCCTCCTCCACAGGCTCAACAGGGACCAGGACCCCAAAGTCAACAGGGTCCACAAGGTCAACCTGGCTATCAACAGCCTCCTGGAGCAGGGCAACCCCCACAGCAAAGCCCACAGCAGAGCCCCCAACAACAACAACAACAACAGCCCCCACAACAACAACAACAACAACCAGGAGGAACACCGTCTCAAGCCCAGCAACCTCCAGGTCACGGGCAACAGGCGCAACAGGGGCAACAGGCGCAACAGGGGCAACAGGGGCAACAGGGGCAACAGGGGCAACAGGCGCAACAGGGGCAACAGGCGCAACAGGGGCAACATTCCCCTTATTCCCATACTCCCCCTCTTCAACAGCCACCACAACAACAACAACAGTCTCCATATCAGAGGTTCCCCCCTCCTCCACAGGTAATAACACCTCACACTGCTGCTGGGAATTAACATGTGTTTAGGATGCACCTTTTTAACAAACGGTACAAGGGGATTTACTAACCAAAACAATAAAACTAACACAAATGACGAGTATATAAAACGCAAGAAATCGAATGACAAAATATGAAAAAGCCGAACCATCAGATAAATAGAAAGCATAAAGCCGTCAGTGAACATCCAGATCAACCCCTGAACTTATAGAAGGATTATAATAAAATGTATAGCAGGGGTTTTTCTCGAATAAGGGCGCTAACGTCACTTCCGGCCAAAAACAATGCTTTCTAGCAAAGTGGGAAATGAATAGTGTCGTCTTGTCTTAAAGTCATACATTGCACCTCAAACAACAAATAAACCCAGAGTTACGGTTTCTTTACCTCCTCTACAGAAAAAAGGACGGTAAAAGAAACTCAGAAATCTCAGTTTCAGTGTAAAATTCTAGCACCCATCCCCTATTTATTCTGCGTGAAAACAAAGCTGTCTCTGCCGTCTGACGCTTTATTCGACACTCATTTCATATCTTTTTTTAGTAATAATTATACAGTTTTTGACAAACAGAAATGTTGTTTGCTAGCATCACTTTAACATTTATGGGGAACATCTGCATTTTGGTATGAGGGCACAGACCTTAAAGGGGACTTATCATGCAAAATGCACTTTGGGTACGTGGGTACAACAGAGCTGATCCAGATTTGCTGGCGATATGATGTAATATCGGTGGCGGACGCACAGAAAGTTGCTATCAGAAACAATGCCTGACGTGTTTTGGACGTAATCTCGTCTGTGTTTACATTAGCAAGCATCGCTAACACTCAGAGCTAACCTGTACTGGAGAGCACATGTGTTTTTAAAAAGCAGGAAATAAAAAAAGGAATTCACCTTGTGGTAAAACCTGCAAGAGAAAAATTATTTAAGCTCCATACTGTTTCAGAAATAATCCTTGATGTGGTTTAGAACAGGATGGTGTTTTATCACAGTAGAATGTAACTTAATCTCCGGTATAATTCTGATCAGGCATTTTTTTCAAGCTAAGGACCCAAAATCCGCGTTTCTCTAACAGGGCTGGAACCAAGCCCCCAGGAAGTGCGCCGGACTCTGAGGAAAATATTCGTTGTGGCCAAACGGCGGTACTACACTTCAGTATCAGTCGCTGGGCCCGGAAACACTATTTCCCATTGACTAACATTGGGAAAGAGACGCCTGTAAATCGTTGGATAATTTTTTTTAAACTAAATAAACTACCCAGTTTTAACATTTGTATAGCCCTTATTAAAACATTCGGTCCTCAAATTGTAAAATGTGCTAATAACGTTATTCTGAGAGTTATTTTCCTCTGCATTATGAACGCGCATCTAACCCACGGGACCGCGCCGCCCGGCACGTTCATGTGACGTTTTCAGTACTACATGAGTTTTACCTTTACCCATGGATGCACAATAAGAACGGATTATATGATTATATGAATACTTTCGTGACGTTTCGCTCTCTCAAAAGTTGGGCCATTTTGTCTTCATGCGCCAATGAGCAACTCTCATAGGAATGAACGAGGCCCCCGCCTCCCACGCTGTATCCAGTTCTTATTATTAGAGATGTCCCGATCCGATCACGTGATCGGGGATCGGAGCCGATCACGTGATTTTCAAAAGATCGGAATCGGGAGAAAAAAATCGGAAATCGGGAATTATTATTATTATTATTATTTTTTTTTTTAATAAAATATTTTTATTTTATTTAATGTTACAAAACAAAAATGACCATGTTCACGTCTTAAAGTCATCCTGAGGCCTTAGTTTTGGTTTAAAATTACACAACATCATGTATGTGTTGCTTCTTTTGGGCTTGTTTTCATCGACCTGGTTGCTTATTTCTCTCAAATCTGGCAACAGAGTGGGCGCAGTGTCTAATAGTAGCAGTAAGCTAACAAGAGGCTTCGTTCAGCTGGTGACTCGGGAGTCGGGACAGAGAAAATGTCAGGAGTTTGGAAGTATTATAAAATTGAAAGCGAAGGCAGTGTAACAGCCAGATGCAATGTTTGCAAGGCGGAGGTTCCGCGTGGTGGAAAGAACAGAGCTACGTTCAACACGACCAATCTAATACAAACACCACCAACAACAACACGACGAGTACACAGCGGCCACTCAGGTAACGGCACTGAAACAACCGACACTTTCAGAGACTTTTAAAAGGAAAGAGAAACTGCCCCAGAACAGTGAAAAGGCCAACAAAATAACAGCCAAGATAGCTGAGTTCATCGCATTGGATGACCAGCCGTTATCTGTTACCTTTTTTTTCTCTTAATGCATTGCATAAAGATCGGATCGGGAAAAATCGGTATCGGCAGATTGTCAAAATCAAATGATCGGAATCGGATCGGGAGCAAAAAAAGGTGATCGGGACATCCCTACTTATTATACATCCATGGCTTGAATAGAGGGATATGAGGGATGTCTAAAATGCATGATCTGTTTGTATTTTGAGCAAAACACATCATAGACATGTTTTTATATATTTGTATATATCTGAGACCCATAATATATGCCTAAAAATAGCATGATAGGTGACCTTTAAGTAAGACAAAACCTGTATAGATAAAAGGAAAGCCAACTTGAAGAAATGGGCGAGGAGATTCTTCCAAATTCTCAATGCTACGACAGCAGAAAGCCTTAATGTTCTTAGATTGGCACGGTTTACAGCAAAGTGGCTGCTCACTGGAACCAAAAGCTGGGTGAGGTAGCCAGGAGCTTTTCATGTAGTGGCTTATAAGTGATTAAAATAATCCTAAAATCAATGCTGGACTTCACTGGAAGCCAAAGAAATGCTGAATGGACAGTGATCGTTAAAAGGAAGCTGCTGCATTTAGAGCTACGGTAGTTTGACTTAGGGAAAAGTTAATCACATTTGTTGATTATATACAACGCCAATATTCCTGGGGTTAGGTTTGACTCTTGTCTTGTGCATTTTTGGTCATATTTTGACTTTTGTAAATGACAGTTACCATCAAAATGCACATAGGTTTTTTTTAAACATAACTGCTTAAAAAATGGTTTACATTTCAGGAAGATGATTGAATGAATAGTACGATTTAGAACGAACTACTCCTGCATTACAAGTTTCAAGGCTTTATTGTCATTAGCACGCCGCGGTGTTCACAGCGATCGCGGCCACTCTAGTCAATGGGTGTTATTCCACCAGACGCGCCGCGTTACGGCCAGAAGCGTCTCAGAAGCGTCTCAGAAGAGTCCCAGAAGCGTCTCAGAAGCGTCTCAGAAGCGTCCCAGAAGCGTCTCAGAAGCGTCTCAGAAGAGTCTCAGAAGCGTCTCAGAAGCGTCTCAGAAGCGTCCCAGAAGCGTCCCAGAAGCGTCTCAGAAGCGTCCCAGAAGCGTCTCAGAAGCGTCCCAGAAGCGTCTCAGAAGCGTCCCAGAAGCGTCTCGGCGCTGGGCTCCGCTAAAAATAGGCGGCTGGTCTATTTTCGACGTGACGCGAGGCGTTGCATAGCGCCGGGCAGGAAATGGACCGGTCAGAGCATCCAGTCAATCCCCAAAATAAACTCATTTTGCAGACCCTATCCCTCCGTAGTCTTTCAAGTAGGAGGAGAAATGCCAGCGTTCTCCTCCGGTTTACAGGCACTGTGGAAATTATATATATAGAATAATTATGATGATGAATGCATTTTTTTACCACTAAAATACAGCAACACATTTTTGATTAATGTCGCTTATAACTGGGATATTAAAAGTATTATTAACTTTGTCTGTACAAAGTAGCCTGTCCAGGAAATATGCCCAAATCAACAAAAACTGCGAGCCGGCACACAAGACGCTCCGCTTTCTGAAACGCGCCCGGTTGGGTTTGACGCTGGAGGAGGTCGGACCAAAACCGCGGCGCAAACGGACCCGGTGGAATCCCGGGGTTAGTCTCCTCCAACAGAGCAACCTGAATATATATATATATATAGGACATGGAACAAATAAAACAGATAAAATAGTCCAAGAGAATGTTTGGAGATGTGCAAGTAAATACAAATAAAATATAAATAGTGCAAGAAGAGTCTATATACAAGTAAATGGAATATGATATATTAGATAAATAATTAGCAAAATGCAATCAGATGAATGTTTATCCATGTTCTTTAAACTTTGAACTGAGGCCTGTACGACGAAGCCGGTTCAACAGACCCTGGATATGTTTGAGTTACCCGGCTTACCTAATCCAAAACAAACGCGCTCTCGCTAAGCGGTCCTACGACGCTGGTTATCAACTCGTTAACTCAAGCCCGGTGTGTCCTATCTAGTTATGTGCGCGTTCACATGAAAGGGGCGGGGTTAGCAACATTTGACCAATCACAAACATGGAGAAGCGTACTGACAGCGCAGCGTCATATATTTCCCGAATGAAAAGTCAACTATAATATTGGACAAATATGAAGAAGTTAAACTTTAAACATCCATGACTTAAACACTTTATCCAGGATCAAAGCCACATAGCTGCACCTGCAAGGTGAATACAGCTGGTAAAAGAAAAAGCGTTTGAATGCGTACATTAACAGGTTTATGATATCACCGCCCCGTCCAAGACACGATCTGACTTTAATTACATTTGACTCGAGTGTTTCATCAACTTAATGTGTTGCTTAAAATAATACTTCTGCATACAGTATGTGACACTGTGAGTGTTGCACGGCCAGATACGGCTCAGCTGACTCAGATAAGGAAATATATGATACATTATGATGTGATATGATATGAATGATAATGGGACACATCGACGTCTGCACTCACAGTGCCGCGGACTGTACTTAATGTTACTCTGATCCTGTTACTTATGTTGTGGCAGATATTTAAGTAAGCTTTCTTAATGCTAATGTTATAATAGTCAGATTGCTCTGAAGATGGGAGGGGATATTCTATTCATTTTCACGTTCACACAGTCAGTGATTTGTGCCTGCCGTCTTTCCTGCAACGGCAGTTTTTCTGTATTTCCTTCCTCCTGTAATATGACTTGATTGCTTTAAACTCCGCACACTGAGCTCTGATTGGTCAGCAGGCGGTGCTTTCACTGAGTTGATCTCTTAGCCTGCAACCTAACCTGCTCCGGACCAGGTTAGCCGTTCAGCATAAGTTACCATGGAGATCTAGCCCGCTAAGAAGAGAACCAGCGTCGTAGGACCGGAAACCCAGAGTTTTCCCTGAAGTTAGCTCGCTAAGCGAAAATCCAGCTTCGTAGTACAGGCCTCTGAGCTCCTCCAACAATGCAACATATACAAAAACACAAAATAAAAAGTAGTGCAAAACGTCTATATACATGTCAATAGAATATGGGATGTGTACAAGAACAGAGAAAGCAATTAAATAATGTAAATGAAGACAAAATTAAATACGGTCAGGTGTAGCATTGCTCTTTACTTAAGCTATAGTGAAAAACGTCCGTTAACGACGCTTGCTTTACGTTGATTTGGATTAATAGTTTTACATTATGTTATCTCCTTCTTGTCGCCACAACAGGAGCTTTCCCAGGACTCGTTCAGCTCTCAGTCGAGCGCTCCTCCTTCCAACCAGCCCATGGCTTCCAATAAAAGCAGCCAGGAGGACAGCATGCAGGGGCGGCCCTCCAGTCTGCCGGTAAGACCCTTTTAGCTGGGTTTCATGGGCATCAAAAACCTAAAGATTTGCCCTTTTAATATGTATTTAAAGCCAATTCAGACGATGCTAAACGGCTCCTTCTAAGTAGCAAATCTCATTCACTTGTTTTCTTGATCACTTTAGTTGATTTTGCTATATATGTAGAAAAAACGCTCATGTATTTGGACTAAAACATAATTTAAAAGCCTTTCATAACACGTTGAATGTCCACCAATCATAACAATCGGACAAGCTTCTTTCACGTGAATTATCTCATAAAATAACTCCTATAAAAACATGTCAAACACATAACAAGTAAAATAAATAAATTCAAATAAAGATTAGGCTATTTATCATAGAAAACCATGCTCTTGTGTTTCAATTAAGCCCACATTTAGAGAACAAAACCAAACGTATATTACTGATGTCAGGTCAGACGCATGTTTTCATAACGAAGACAAACGTCGCAGCCTTTTTGCATCGCCGTATTTTTCTGAACAGCTGCTCACTCGAACCAAAACAAAAAACATAACGTGCTCTCGACACCTGTTGCCCTCTTACATCACGAATCAGCAGCTGAGTATTCCAGCCCTGGTCAGGGAGCAGATATCTGAAACAACAAGGAAGAAATAGACACAACACTGCAGATAAACATGTCCGTTGACACAGGTCAATGTCATCCTGTGTGATTTGGCAAAAGATCAATGACAGTCAACAAGGAGGATATCGACTGACACCGATATTGGGTCGATGGATATGTGCATCTCCAAAATACACAGTTATAGAGTGCCACAGTGACGCGTCCTAAAACCCGGAAGTAAGCTAGCATTTTTACCACTTCCGGTTCCTTCGACAAAAAGCAATGCAATTTCTCCATAGGGTTTAGTGGTTGAGAAGCATTGAAGACACGGATCACGTTTTGTTCTACGACATTAAATCCATCAGCAGTGACCCCACTGGTGATTTCTGAAGAGTTGACGTGTCTGAAAAACGATGGTTGTTACCAAGTGGCTGAACAGGACTACAGAAGTTGTCGAGGCCGTTGTACGTCATTACACCGAACACGTAAACACTCCTCGAAGTTAGTTTGCCCTGTTCTGCTTGAAAGCAAGTACCTGCCTCCTGCAGACTGTTCAAACAAACGCTTCAACTCGTACCATTTAGAATCTGTATGTTTGAATATGGATCTTAAGTTGGCGTGACGTTGAAGCAGCGACCCTGCTGTAGTTTGTTGATAGCATAACGTTAGCATTTTGCTTCTGGCGACTAGATTTATGATTTGAAAATTATAAAAGTAGGGTAGACATGTGGATATTATCCGGCTGAACAAAACGTGATCCGTCTCTTCAATGTGTCTCAACCACAGACCTTATTTCCAGCTATTTTCCAAAATCCTATGGAGAAATTGCATTGCGTTTTTGTCGAAGGAACCAGAAGGAGTTTACTTCCGGGTTTTAGGACGTGGCACTCTATAGCGCTTGAAATGTTAAATTGAATAATTATAAATTATGAATAAAATATGTCTGGGAGAAAATGTGGAATGTGTGAAACATGGCGGATGTCAGAAACGCTTCAAAAATGCTTTTAAATGCGTCTTTTAAACATGTTATTAAAGGTAGGGTAGGTAAGAATGGAGAAACCAGCTCGAGTGCGCTAGAATTTGAAAGTACGCAGCCGAAACAAATCTGCCCCTTCCTTCAGACTGCCTTACAGAGCCCCTCCTCCAACACACACGAACGCGCACATGACCAATGAGGGCACCAGATAAGTTTGTGCACAGATGGAAGGCTGACAGGCCATCCAGTTATTTTAGCCGGGCCGGCTCAGATGATTGGTCGTGCTTTTTACAGCGCCACAGCTTCCACAGATGACATTTTTTTAATGTATTTATTGTCAAAGCATTTAATTTATTCATTGCTATCGGGATGTTAAGAGCATTCCATGGAATATAACAAAAAGTATTTCTGAAGTGAATTACCTACCCCACCTTTAAGTATAAGTAAGTAGAACCAAATTATAATCTTCAACGGTTTTACTCGGCCAAATGTATTTGAGACAACATGTCAATGAGGTATAAAAGAAATAAGGTATTATATATAATGTTATATATATTAAATCGGTACCATTTTACAATAAGACTACCCTTATAAAGGATTCCTAAAGGGTTTATAGTTAGGTTATGAATTAGGTTGTAAACACTTGATTAATCATTAAGCACCATTTATAAACCAGTTCTAACATAGTTTTCATACATCAACACAGGCTCACTATTTGGCAAGATGACTAAGCCTTATATTGGCTACTTAGCGAGAATCAACTCAGTGAGGAACAGATACCAAGGATGCTGGCTGATGAAGGAGACGAAGTAAGCTAGGTAGCCAATATAAGGCTTAGCAGTACAGATAAATGTGGGCTCACTATTTGGCAAGCAACCGGTCACAGTTGCCCTGTTTATCTCATGTCTTATAAAAGCTTATTAATGATTTATAAAGTGTTCACAACCTAATTAATAAATGAATAACAAACTATTCGTAAACCCTTTTATAAGGGTAGTCTTATTGTAAAGTGGTACCATTAAATCTTATAGCAAAAGTAACCCTACAGGAGTAAGATATTATTATTAGTAGGAATGATCAAAATATTTGGATACATGGGATAACATTTTGATTTTTGGGCCAACTTTGCAATCAATGAACTACCAACATTCTAAATAAAGCTTCACAACCTATTTAGAGCAAGGGAAGGACACATCCTGCCTTTTAGAGCGATATCTGCTTTGGACATTGCGTGCTTTAGTAGAGAAAGGTCAGTACTTTGGACTGGTTTAACCCCAGCTCTGTTTACCCTTGTCTGCTAAATCAGTGACATGTTACTGAAGTCTGCCAACATTCCTGCAACACACGACAAGAAAGGGAAAACCCCCAAAAAGATCAATAAAGCTTCTTTTAATATTGAGTGTGTTCGAGCAGTCCGGGTTTCTATTGACTTGTTCGGGGAAGAAATTGCGAAATTAAGGGAAAGAAACATTTGTGTGTGAAAAAACATTGTTTGAAATGAAGTAAATATGGCGTCTGATAGCCCCTTGGTTTAAATAAAAGGGAGAGAGAAGCCCCTCCCCAAATATCCACCACCCGTTAAAGAGGTGTCTCTCTGTAACACGTTGCAGTTTCCATGGCTCTGTTTATAGGTCAGACTGCGGAGCTAACCTCGTTCTGGGCCTCGGGGAAGGAGAGTGAGAAATGAGATCATTAATGAGAGAGAATGAAAGTGAGAGGGGGGGGGGGGGGGGGGGGGAATTGAGGGAGTGCAAGCAAATAACTTGGAATAGTGTGAGTGATTGAATGTAGAGGAAGGGAGGGACGAGTGTCTATGCCAGAAGGGGATGCCCTCAGGATGTGTTTCCCTACTCTTTTATTTATTTCTCTTATTTATTTATACATCTCTCAGCAGGCTCAGCCATTGGCCGAGCTGCCAGGCCAGGGCTATTTTTATTTATCTCACTCCGACTTCACGGGGATTCCCTATTGGCGCCTCGTGATTGGCTGTGAGAGACATTAATCTGGTTAAGGTAGAGATCCTCTTCCTCCTGCTGACAGCTGACTCCTGCAGGTGTCAGGAGGCGATGCCAGGAGAATCTGTTGTGCCGGGGAAATCCTAAGAAATTATGCAAGATGGCATTTTTCCATCTAATACACACTTGACTAGAACTGCAAGATTTAGAAACATTTATTCAATTTTTATGAGTGAAAAATATTAGTGAAAATGATAAATATAGCTGTTTAAGGCCCGGACTTCTCTGCAGCTCAACAATACTCAATTAAGATATTTTTGCATCAAATATTGTGCTAACACTGATTTGGATATTGCTCTAGTCCAGGGGTCGGCAACCGTAACCAGTGGCACACTAGGAATAAGTGGAGTAAGTGTGCAAAATATTTAAATTTTATTTTCGGATCCTGAACGAGACCGCCGCCAGAGCGCTTCTCCCCGTTACCTGCAGAAGAAAGCCATGCACGCAACGCAGCCCCGCTCTCTTTAACTCCAGGTGACTTTCTGACGCTTTCCTCCGTGGTGCAGGGCTGATCGTAAAAAAGAAAAAATTACTGTAGGCATTTAAATAAAATAAAATAAATAATTAAATGAATTCAGTAAAATATAAAGAAAAGGATTTTGTTAGGAGATAATATATAACATTTTAAATATGTTGTTAAAGAAAAGTATGACCTTGAAATACTGACAGTTCAATATTGTTTTGGCACTTTTGGTGTATTAAAAAACTCAAACAGTATCCAGCCCTTAGCATTTCTAAGCTAGCCAACATGCTTGTTTCTACCTGTCTCATTAGCATGCATCATTACAAAATCCATTTGTATCATTTTCTATCTTACCTGTATTTATTCCTCATTGAATGATGGATAAATGAACATAATAACTGCAGTTAGTAGCTGTGAAGGTTAAGTAAAGGAAGTGTTGGGTAGTTAATCTTAAAGGTCACCTATCATGCTATTTTTAGGAAATAGCATAGGTCTCAGATATATAAGAAAATATAAAAAACATGTCTATGAAGTGTTTTGCTCAAAATACCAAACAGATCACCCATTCTAGCCATGCCTCATATCCCTCTATTTCACTTCCTGTTTCAAAAGTGCTGATTTTATGTATAAAGCTTTATAAAAAAATTGATACAAAATAAAAAAGGAGGGGTCTGAGCTCATGGGGGACCCGGCAGCTACTGTCTAAACTAAATACTGCCGTGATGAAACGCCATATCATGGATTATCAAGGATTCTCTCTGAAACAGTATGGAGCTCAAAGGCTTTCTCTCTTGCCGGTTATACCACAAGGTGAGTTCCTTTTTATTTCCTGCTTCTTCACACACATGCTCTCCAGTACAGGTTAGCTCTGAGTGTTAGCGATGCTAATGTAAACACCGACCATATTACGTCCAAAACAGTCGGGCATTGTTTCTGATAGCAACGTTTCTGATAGGGCCGTGGGTCCACATTTCAGATATTACGTCATATCGGACGCAAATCTGGATCAGCTCCGTTGTAGCCCCCGTTTTAGAGATTTGGGTACGGAGAAAAGAGAGAGGGTTTTGTTTTCTGACGCTGCGTGAGTTCCCTGACACACCGGGGACACATATTCATGTATAAAAGACATAAAAAAGTACATTTTGCATGATAGGAGACCTTTTAAATTAACCATATATGTATCACCCCAAGTCAAGAAAAGCACATTTAAAACACACCTGCCGGGATTTGCGTGTTACTCATCTCCTGGTTTTATTTAACATGGGAAAAGGTGTTTATTTTATAAGCACCTGCAGTGATTTTCACAGACACATTTGTATTTTAATCTGCCTTGGAACAAAAACCCCGATCCAGAGAGGTAAGTAAGCAGCCATCTAGCTTCTTTAGTGTCTTCACAC